GCTCTGTAATCCTGCTGTGCCATTCATCTTCCATTGAAGTTGTTGTCCACAAAGGTAGTCCCACTCTTGAGTTGGCAGAAAGTTTAAAGTCAAAGCTATCTTTGTCTGCAAATGTCAGCAATGACACCTTTGTCGTGAGCTGTGCCCATGCAGTACGTAGGCAGCTGGGATTGTTGCTTGAGTCTATGCGAAATGAGTTTTGTTGGCTGAAGAGCATGAAATATGAAGAATGTTTCCTCTGTCCAATCTGTTGTCAGGGAGGTGAGTTTTACTACTGTCGCGAACATTCTGCACAAGGTTGCAAGCAAGAGGAATGTCTGCACTTCTGGTCCGAGTTTGAGTTGCACAATGTCGAGACGAAATTTTGCACCAAGTCTGCTGTTGCAGAGGACATTAGTGTTCAGGTCGAGCAGTTTGCACCATGGCTGGCGCCTATAGGAAATCAGGTAATTAACCGAAAAGTAATGCACGTTTGTGAAAGTGTCAAATATGACAAAGAATGTAATAGAGGGTAAAGGAGGGGAAAATAGTTTGACTCCATACTGATCACTATTATTTTATTAACATACATCGCTTAATGGACTTAAACCACATATAATCTTAATTACAGTACTTCCATGAAATTACTTTAACTAGCATAACATTACGTTAAAATTAACAGAATTGTCCATTTCAGTTCACAATCCAACTTTGAGCTTAAGTCTTATATCATTGTGAAGAATGGCTCCCATTTTAAGCCGTCAGTAAGTCGTCCACCACTTAAAAACGATTGCATATTGACTTATTTTACTTCGACGTGCATCAGTCATTAAAAAGAAATTGAAATTGTTTCTCAAACCTGTCAGACACACACTAAAGATACATTAAATATCTGACTAGCCTCGATCTCTGGGCTTGCGCTGTAGGTTACAGGTCCTTGTTTTCTTCCCTTTTTTTATAGCACGAGCACGGAGCGCTCGGTCCGTAACAACGGACTTCGAATTCGTTTAATTTAGTGAGAGGTATATATATGCAGAACACCCATAGCGTATTGTATAACACATTAAGTGGGTATATCTGTGAGTAGCTACCAAAGGGTAAAAGATAATGTCAAATTTTAAAGGTGGATCTACATAGCTGATTGCACTTTATTGCATATTTGTTTCTTAAACGAATCTTGTGTCTATAGCACGTTATAAGGAATGTACTCCCTGCGGTAATTTTTTCATATTTATATTCCACAGCGAACACTTGGCGAAAGTGATGGAAGAAGCATAGCATCCGTGGAAGGTAACCTTATATGATTGTGTTTTTGTCCCTAGAACCCTGGCCGAAAGGGTTAGATGTGTTGAAATTTATTATGTGGAAATAGTAACCAACCAAATAGCCCTACAAAGATCTTTCGTCCAGTGTTGAAGTTGTTGCACTACAGAAGATTTGGGGCACGTGTTTACAACCTGACAACTAACATTATCAGGTGGGGGAAATTAGGAGTAAATTGAATGCGGTTTTTTTTTTTAAATTAAAAGTGATGGGTTCAAAAAAATTGTGCAATTCTATTACATGAGACTGGCACTGTCCTCTTGCTAGAAAACAACATGTAACAAGCTAATTTTGTGAATTTGCCGCCATTCATAGGAAGTAAAGAAATTGCCATTCCTGATCAGGTTCTAGGAGCTCTTTTGTCACAGTCATGTGATGCCAAAGAGACTGAACTTCAGCTGAGAAAGACTATAAAGGTAGAGGACGCCTCTCTGGAACAGCCAGATTCTGAGACCAAGACAATGATTCGTTGCTTAGCAAGGAAAGCTAAAGAGTCAAACAGACTTGATGTGTTCCACCATTTGAGAGAGATTACACCAGCTGGATGTACCGGTGAGTCTATCATTGGGCAAACATCTTGTAATCGATTGCCTTTCTATAAATGTTTTTGTTGTGAATTTATGGGAGTTAGTACTCCACGTGTACGAACAATCATAGCACGTACTGTTAACATATATTGCTATCGTCATGGAACTTGATTTGGTATCATAATTCTACGGAGACGTTTGTGAAATCAAAATGTGTATGGAGTTTCTTTGTAGTAATTGACTGTTCACTAAAATGTACTTAAGCATTTCACATAAAATGGTCTGAAAGGAGTAGTTCCCATTTTTGGATTTTTCTTTTGAACAACTAATCGCATTTTAATCTGAAAACCTTACCAAGAGGTTACATCGCTAGTTTTGCTTTTGTCATGGCAATGGCAGTACCACTTTCAGAAATTCCTCTATCACATCGCTTGGGGTTCTGCTAGCCGTGGCTGGTGTGAGGCACGTTTTGTCATTTCCCCCATGGTCTGGCATCCACGCGTCGGGAAAATAGTGACCGCTATTTTTGTTCCTCTATGACCACACCCTTTGCTTTTCTCCAGGTCCCTTGTTGTCTGAACACCTTGATATTCGAAGCATCCCAGTTTCCAAGGGAAGAGAACTTACAATTGACTTGAGTGGTAAGTTATGCTGGTTGTGCTGAACAGGGGCGTGACCGCAATTTCTAAAATGTAAATGGACCTTTCCCGCATTCTACTACAGTGTGTAAGAACAATAACGCCAGAACGAGGTTGGGGTGGACGTTTTCGTAGATTCAGTTCTTGTATTTCTGTCCA